GAGACAGGCACTTGTCACTAACACGCTGCTGATACCAGCCTACTTGTCTGCGACTTGCGAAGGATGAATGCGCTCACTTGAAACATCTTCTCCCATGTTGCCTCTAAGAGAAGGCCTCCCTGTAAATGTTCACAGAGCTCACAATCCTCCTTCAAACACTCTTTATCACATGCTGATCCTGACCAGCCCGTGTCCGGTTCCCCTCTGCCGATGAGCCTGGCGCTGCCCTGGTGCCACCTGCTCTGCGGCATCAGGGGGGATTGCTAGTGGCGGGTAGGGGAGTCAGGCTCGATAACAGTTTTGTATATATTTAATTATTTTAATAAATTCCTTATTAGTACTGTAAATTTTTTATTTAAGCTGTTGTATTTTTTTCCCCAGTCCGTAAGTCTCTGCCTTATTCCCTTTCCCTTCCCATTTGGGGAGGGAGAGGGATTAGAGAGCATCCATCAGCGTTCAGTGGCCGGCCCAGCCCTAACTCCTGACACACGACAACTTCTTTCTGTGGTCATGTCCCATACGTAGTTTAGGGGCAGAGGGAAGTTTGTGTTTGCAGCTTAAAAAGTGGATCTGCAGGGCATTAACGCTTGAACAAATAATAAAAACAAGGTCACTGTGGAGAGAAACGAGCAGTTAAGTGGTCACTTTTGGAACAGAAGGTAGGAATCCCTGGCAAATCTAACACGTCTCCCCCGTGGCCTTTACAGTTCAAAGGCAGGTGTTGACATACCCCTAGCAGAACTGGGACAAGCTCTCTGTGGGAAAATATGTATTTGAAATATGGTTGTAAAGTGTTTTAAGTAAAGCGAATGAAGGAATTTGAGATATCGCAGTAAAAATAGGACAGAACCCCAAGAAGAAGATAAAGAGAATGAAGGAATCTGAGATATCATAGTAAAAATAGGACAGAACCCCAAGAAGTAAATTTCATTTGCTCATTTCTGGGCCATTTAGTTAATTAAGGAACAGACATACGTGTTCTATTCTAAAGACTAAGGCTTACTTTGAAGTAGGAATGAAAACAGTTTTAAAAGCACTTTAGGTGAAAACAGTAAATGTTCCACTGGACTCTAAAGGATGCCTCACTGCTCTACTCAAGAGCATCTTTTACATTTTTGCCAGGCTAAGTAAACTTAGTTCTCTTTCATAAAAATGTTTTCACACCAATCTGTGGTGCAAGGAAGGATGAAGCAACAGACCATGATAAGATTGTGAACATCCATTTTCACATCTCAGCCACTTCTTAAGCTCCCTGACCTATGAAACAACGGGGTTACAGAGAAACCCAGCTCCGTCCCGAAATCCGTAAGTCGGAGTTGTAAACAACACGTATGTGAACGTCATTTCACAGGAGATTCTCTGTATCCATATTCTTTGTGAGAAATTAAAGCACGGCCCTAAGAGACCGTGAAATGTAACAGGCATCCTACAATGTCAAACTGCAGCCACCTTTCACTTCCACCTCAGGAGAAAAACCCAAAACACCTCAAGGCACCAACCTCACGTGACACCACATCCAAGAAGAGCTGAAAGATGAACACAAACCCCTGATTTTTAGACTTCACCCCCATACCTTGAACGTGCTGCTTCCACTGCAAGTGCGAGTAAGTTGCCTTCCCCGGTAGCAGCACACTGCGTCAGAGCAGTGAGACAGCGCTGGGCTGCTGCCTCATCTCTACTAGCCTTCACCTAAAGGGGAGGAGAAAAATATTAAGTTAAAACAAACTACAAGGAAAACTGGGAAGTCAAATGCGTAAGACTTTCTGATTTCAAATATTAATGTCGGAGACAGTTGTCGATAAATGCTATATATTTCAAAAAGATTAGAAGTTAAAGGGTGTCTCAATCATGTTAAGAGTTAAATAACTCTAAACCCACGTTAACTACAGTTCTATTCATTATGAAAGTGGATGTCAGCTGTGGCTTCCACAACTCTGTCCTTTAATAACTCTTGACAAGCTGCCCCAAACAGTCTGAGTGCTTAAGTAATGTTACATGTTTTTAGAGCAAAACATTGTGTAGCTATTTTCTAACTCGTTTTCAGAAAATGTAAGGTTGTCAACTTTAAAAGGTTAGACATATTCACAAGACTATCTGAAACACGCTGATCAAAAACAAATGAACGCAATAAAACCATTTTTGTTTGGATTCTAATACTGTGTTTCTTGGGATTTTCCATCAATTTCCACCGAAGCTGAACAGAAATCCAGCTTCTCTGCTAAAGACTTGAGTGGATTCTTTCAAATTTCAGGGTCAAGTTTCTGTAAGTGGTATTACTCAAGTTCTATCTGCAATTATGAGAACTTTCATTTTTAATAAGGTAGTTCCTACCTTATTAATCTTCTCGATCTGCTTGCTACGGACGGAAGTATTATCAATAGCCAGAACTTCAACAGTCTCCTCTTTTTCTAGCTGATGCTTGTTTACTCCAACAATTACTTCAGCCCCTATTTCCAGTGGAAACACCAGAAACTCAGAATAAATTTGCAAAGTACTGTGAAAAAACACAATGTTAATAGGACAAGAAAATTTTGATCAATATAATGCAGCATTTCACTTTATAACTATAGAAATTTCAAATACTTAAAATTTGTTCTTAGAGGAAGGACTTAAGTCCGTATTTTCCATATTTTATAATGAGAAATGATTAGGCACATGAACATTCAACTCAGTGAATACTGAGTTGGTAAAAATATTTTAATAGAACAACATTAATCTTACAAACTGATTTAGTAATCACTCACTAATATATATTAGCTACTTTTTCTATATTTACATAACCGAATCTTACAGAATTAAGCAGAAATGCTGGTCTCCTACACTACTCCGCATTTACTTTTCTGATTTACTATGTAAATAAGAAATTGAAGTTCCTACCTAACTATTCCATGTGAATAAAAATTAATTTACAATGCTGGAAAACTGGATTTTACCTCTCAGCTAGTATGAACTTTACAAACATTTTTATTTGCAGTGCCTGATAACATTACTACACTCTTCAAAGCAATATGAAGTAATTTACATTGGGAGAGAAAACAAAGAACTTTACTGATTATTTTTATTGCTCTTAATTAAGACCTGTTTCAAATTTATCCACCAAACAGAAAAATTCATAGAGCTTTCTTCATGGTCGAGTTATCCCTAATTTCTGTTACTGGACTGCTACTGGAAAGCTGACTACAAAAAGCAGGACACAGCTATAAGCACTTCCACATATACTTACCATATGTGTACATAGGCATATATTGCATATATATATACTACAAAAAAAGATCTGCATTGAATCTGATGCAATTTTTCTGGTCTTCAGGAAAAATGGTCAGTTCTCAAGCAAAACCAGAGATTTGGCCAGATCATTCAATATTGCCATCTGCTGGCGGTGTTGCTTTTAAATTTAGAAAACACAGTTTAAAGATACTATGAGAAATTAAGTGATTAACTATTGAAGGCCCAAAATAAAATAGTCTTCCTAGTGCTTTGTCTACTCTAGTCTTAAATATTTGTCAAGCAAGACTGTTTTCATCCTGGTACTGTATGTTATACACACTGCTATTTCTTTTCAGAAGTCTTCACTGACATAAACCTATTCCTATTTTATCAATCACAGTCTGCTACTCCTAAACTAAGAAGACAAAAAACCAAACAACAAAGGCCTTTATACAAAAGCATTATTCTATTGGCAGATTTCCCTTCTTCCATCTCCCTGCTCCCTACCAGAGTCAATCCTGGCTTGTCTTCGGGCTGCACACTCTTCAATACGAAGTTTGGGAATCCCCTCAGCAACAGCTTTGGCCATTCCACCCATTTCTTCTATCTCCTCAACAAGCTGAGAAATAAAGAGGATAGAGACAGTGAGTCCATCTCTGCACTTGTACTATGATCTAAATTTTTATTATACCTAGATATACAGTCCTGTGCTCTACAAGTGTTTCATATCTCTGTGTCTCCGACTACAGATTTTGGTATAAATTAAGAGACATCTCAAAAAACCAACAATTTTATTACCCAAATTCCACGAATTCAGTAACAGTGCTTGGCATATTGTTCAACCAGCAACACCTACGGATGAAAAGGCTTCAAACCTGAGAACTTGATTCTGCCTGCCAACCAGCCCTTACCATTACACATACACCAATACAAATAAATTAAAAAAAGACAGAGCCGGTTCTCTGATCCTGAGGACAAGTGGCATGGAACAGTTCAGCTCTCGCAGCAGAAGCCTCTTCAGCTCCAAAATGCAGTGACCACATTCAAACTGCCGACTGAAAACAGCCATCAGACCTCACCTGGCACTGTCTAGAAGTATCCTAGTTGACAAGGACCTAAAAACCACAGGCCAGATAATGTGCCAACAGTGTCTGTACAGTCTCAGGCTAGTGCTTGCATCTATATTAGCTTATTAATCTGTTTTTTTTGCATAAGAGCAACAATTTGTTCAAAAGGAGAATCACTGAGTTTAGCTGTAGGCTAGACACGGAGGTTTGTATCTTTACACAGGATTGCCACCAGCAAAGCTACTCCTGCGTAGTCCTTTTCACTTGCAAGTAATGACTGGTGGCTAAAAATATTATTTAAAAAAGTATTTTGATACAACAGTAAAATTTCTCCTAAATTCTGCATAATACTCAAGTGTGGCCAGACAACTGTCTGTCTGAATGCTTGGCTACTAAACTTTGCTTTCCACAACCTCTAGCTTTAAAGCCTCAAGCAGGTCACCACAGGCATGATGAGCAGGCATGTAACTAAGAAGGAAGGTTCAATATTTGAAAAGTCATGGGAGTCAGGAGAAGTCCCTGGTGACTGGAAAAAAAATAATGACACCCATTTTTAAAAAGGGTAGAAAGGGAACCCAGGGCTTGATGGGGCTCTGAGCAACCTGATCTAGTTAAAGATGTCCCTGCTCACTGCAGGGGGGTTGGACCAGATGACCCTTAAAGGTCCTTTCCAGCCCAACATATTCAATGATTCTCTGAACGACCAACCTGTCAACCTCACCTCTGTGCCTGATTAGGTCATGGAACAGATCCTCCTAGAGACTCTGCTGAGGAGCACAGGGAGGTGATTCAAGACAGCCAGCATGGCTTCACTTGGCGCAATGAACAGGGAGGCTGGACTAGAAGGCCTTTAAATGTCTTTTCCATTCCAAACCATCCTGTGATTCTATGACTTCTGTTGTTCTCTTTTTTATCTTACACATAAAACTGATCTCAGCAAACTGGGAGTCTTCAGCGGGAAAGGGACTTGATTATTTGTTCCACACTGGGATATTTCCCTCTTGAATGTAATCTACTAGATTCACAGAATCATAGAATCATTCAGGTTGGAAAAGATGCTTGAGATCATTGAGTCCAACCATGAACTCTACTCTACAAGGCTCACCCCTAAACCCTAAACCATATCCCCCAATACCACATCTAAATGACCTTTAAACACCTCCAGGGACAGTGCTCAACCACCTCCCTGGGCAGCCTATTCCAATGTCTGACTACTCTTTCTGTGAAAACTTTTTTCCTAATGTCCAGTCTAAACATACTCCATTGCAGTTTGAAGATGAAGTCTCTCTTTAAATACACACTGTATTCTTCTGAAGTTCATTTATAAAGAAATCCCTGAAGGACAAGTATAAAATCATTCCCTCTTCAGAAATTACCAACTTAGCAAACAGTCCCTTAAAGGACATTTCTCAAAACTCCTATAACCTAAAATTTTACCACGGAACATAAAAGGTTACACACACCGACCTTCAGAGCAGCGTCATAGACCTCGTTGGTGAGGCACTCCATGAGGTAAGATCCCCCCCAGGGGTCCGCCACTTTAGGAATGCCTGACTCCTCTTGAATTATGATCTGTGTGTTCCGAGCAATGCGAGCGCTCTTCACCGTAGGCAAACCCAAGGCTTCATCGTAAGAATTTGTATGCAAAGACTGCGTCCCTCCAAACACTGCGGCCATTGCTTCAATTGTGGTACGGATCACATTGTTAAAGGGATCCTGGAAGGAAAAAGGAGAGCTCAGAAGCTGCGTGGTTCTGCCACAGGGCTGAGATTAGTCACATGGATAGTATAAAACTGAAAGATACCTATGGGAGAACTGAGATGTTACCCAAACCAAACAGATAATCTGGAGTAGAAGGTATAGAAATAATCAGTATTACAGAATATAATCTTAGTCTGTAGGGTAAAATTTTTACCTGCTTTTTCGGACATCTAGACAGTCAAGTTGTATATATATATGTCATTATAATCTAAGAGGAGTTATTACCATCTCCAGGAGGTCACTTATGCTCCGTTGGAGTGAAAAACCACACAATGCAGCTGCCTGTCTTATTTAATGCGATTACTGAGGGAAGTTAACAGTAGCTCAGATTGCACATCTAATTCTCGATATGCTTAGTTGGGATGAAATGTATCCAAGACAATTAAGAGCTACCAATGTAATAGGACCGCAAAGAAGACAAAATGAATAATGAGATCTGGAATTCCATTATTTTCCACAAAGAAACACAATTAATATCACTATTTTACAAGGACACAGTAATTCTATCTACATTAGAGTCAATTTCTAGCTCGAGTATTCCACTGAAAGTATTACAGAAGAATGTGATTTGGACGAGCAAGAACACAAAACCTAATTTAGGAGTGGATACCTATCTAAAGGCAGGTCAAAGAAAATTACATTTGCCCTCTGAAACCTACAAGGTGCACTAAGCAGCTATATTAAGACCAACAATGATGTTTAGATAGGGAAAAAGGGTTATGATCCAGCCAGAAATATATTTACGCTTGACACTGGGAGACAGTTGAACACATTTTGGGCAATACTAAAATTCTTGCACTCGTAAAATACTTTTAATTGGAGGACCAGCAAAGGATGCTGTTGAAAAAATTCTATTGTTTTAGTTTTACTGCATTCCTGTCAAATAAGTAAATATCACATTTGCTTTGAAATAAAAAAGAATAAAATCAAAATCACATAAATCAAATAACAATGGTTGCAATCACAACCTAAAAGTAACTCATATTGCATTACTTCTATTGAGAAGCAGGCTTTGGAATAAGAACTGGAATCCAGCTCCATGAGAAGCAGGTCTTAGAACAAGAACTGGAACCCAGCTCTAACCTCACTTGGGGAAGTACATGCAGCCAACGATTTATCTTCTTGCGATGTAACTCAACAGGAAGAGCAGAGAGTGCACCCAATTCTGAAAACACACATGGGCTGTAACTACTATTTCACTCTTCAGCAGTGAAAGTCAGGGGCGTGGATGACTTCCTTGGCTGCTCAGAAGAATTCTCAAGCCAGCAACCCTGAGAGAAAGGTGCTTCAACTTCCTCATTCAGCTGCATTTTGAATTACAGGACAAATCCGAGAGAGATATTTATCCTCTGAGTCCTCAGTTTATATAAGCACCTCTCTGCAATTCTCTCTCTATTAGTCGGTTTGGACTCTACTCTCAGTTCAGTATCCACTGGACCGGGAGCACACATGCTTAAGACAATGATTCCAGAATGAAAATGAAGCCAGACAACTAAAAGTTAAGCACTGAGACTGACTAACACCATGCTGGAATCCTTTTGCGAATACTCTCCAGTTTCTGCCCTTTTACCTGTGCGCTGCAGAGCAGACCAGAATACAGAGGTATTTTGTAAACCAGCATTTTGGGAAGCAACGCTGCTAACACTCAGCGAGACTTCTTGTGTTACGGAAGCAACAAGATGCATCCAATGCTAGTGGGTGCATTTGTCAGACAGAGAGTAAGACAGGTTGCCTTCCTCAGAAAGCTGCGTCTTTATGAGTAAAACCAGTAGCCCCCTTTGAGATACACACCATGAGAATGCATTTAAACGAGGAAGCTGATGTCAGTCCAATTTCTAACCTGCTCAGTGAGTGACCAGCCCGAAGTCTGACAATGAGCTCTCAGCAGGAGAGATTTCGGATCCTTGGGTTTAAACATTTTCTCGATCAAGTGAGCCCACAGCCGCCTCCCAGCTCTCATCTTAGCTATCTCCATATAGAAGTTCATCCCAATTCCCCAGAAGAAGGAAAGCCTGTAATGAGAATACATGAACAGGACAAACCATGAAACCATTCTAATCATTCTGTTTCATTAAAGAAGTCCTACAGCAAGGTCTGCAAGCAAATTACTTTTACAAAACTAACTCAGACATCAGATGTCAGGACACTGATGCTAGTTGCTACAGAGCACTATGCATTTATGCTGGTAAACTGACTCAGCCTCCAAACAAGGTGACTACAGGCAAACTGCCAGTGACAGTGGCCCTTAGAACTGTTAAACCTGTCCCCAGCAAGAGTTTTAGGGTACCCCTAGGCCAAGTGGTGTTCCAGCAAGTCACTAATGCAGACAGTAACACTCTAGTGGCAGGGAATGCTCCTGGACACGATCTGCGAGTGTAGTTACGCTCCCAAACTACTTATAATAGGAAGGTGTTACATATTATAAGTATGCTTCCATTCTTTTCCAGATGATTTAAGTAAAAATCCAAATCATACATCAGTTCAGTACTGGATAGCTTATCAGGGAACAGACTAATCTACTTTTTCCTGCTTATAGCTTCCATGATTTACAAATGTAAACATGCACAGTTAAAGCCAATAAAACTCATTATACTAAAGATGCACTTCTCTAACAGTGAATTAGCTGCTGAAACAATTTGTGAAAGGCTCTTAGAGATTCTCCATTGGCAGAAAGTCCAAAAATAAGGATGTATCTTTTTCTACACTTGGATTTTGCCATAGAAAGAGATGAATTTAGCTGACTCCTACAGTTTGCATGTGCAACAGGCGACATGAACCACACCTTCTGTTTTTTAGGCTCACCATATAGTTCAGGAATCTGTAAATCAACTAGATCACTGGAACTGTGATTCTGCTCAGCTTGGCAGTAACTATCCAAAAATCTAATATTCTCCTTACATTTTAGTTTTAGGAAATTTGCAACTGTAAACTGAACTACTTGAACTTCCCCTTGTTAAGCATTTTTCCCAAATACGTCAGCAAAATACTAATGAAAAAATCAGTAACACTACAGTATAAAAGAATTGCAAATACTCTTGCTGCATTCTGCAGTCCTAAAGCCACAACTGTATGAGATATAACAGCTCAGAGATCCTCTTTGTGACCCGGAGACCAACTGCCACAGACTTTGACAATGCTTGGGTTTGTGCATGAGCTTTATCCAGTTTATTAGTGTTGGACCAGATGTATTTTCCTACCACTGAAACTGTGTAACAAAACCAGAACAAAACCCATCTGTAATGTGAGCATCGCCAATGTCGCTGGCATGAGTAAAAATACTGAATTTGACATTAAACTCTAGAGATTTTACCAAAAAAGCGAGTTGCATATTTCTTTAGCTCACCTTGGTGCGAATTCATCAATGGTAAGACCAGCTTTAAGTCCAGTTCTGCAGTACTCCAAGCCATCTGCTACAGTATAAGCTAATTCCAGAATGGTATCAGCTCCTGCCTCTTGCATATGGTACCCACTGATTGAAATGGAATTAAATTTTGGCATATACTGCAAAAACAAAAGACAATAGGGTACAGGAGCAGAAGGAGGGAATCAGATCACTGCTGTATCAACACTGACAAACAGTCCTTTCTTTGTAGACTGCGAATATAACCCAACTCTATTAAGTAGTGTTTGTAGCTGTTTACTTCACATGCTTTTACCATTTTGCACTACTCACTGTGCCTAAACTATCACCCACCATGGTGAGTAATGTTCTCAGTTACAGGCTCTGTATCATCTCTCCAGTGAAAACTAAGAAAACAGCAGGTAGTACTGAACCTCCAGCCCTCAGTTCAGGACTTCGCTTTTTTCATTACTTCTTTCTCACGCTGAATTTTGCAGAAGTCGTCCTTCAAGATTTCTGACTTCTTCACTCCTGCTTACAGCTGTATAATGTCTCTTAACTACAGAGCTTCTTACTTTTTTACATACAGAACATCCTACTATTCCTTGTCTCCAAGCTTCCTGCCATCCTTTCAGGCTTAGGCTCATCTCAAGCTCGCTTTGATTTGGGCTGACTTGAAAAATCTTAAACATTTACGCTGTAAGTGATTTGGGATCTTAATTTCTCCTCCTGGCCCTTTCCACAACCACATCACAGTTCGCTATGACAGGTCTTCCCATCTCCTGCTTTGTTCCCCAAAGTGCCTCATAAATAGTTAACTCGACATAAGAAGAGAAGCAAATACACTTAAACAATGAATACCTTTGAGGTGTACTGGAAGATGTCAGCAATAATCCGCATCGATGGTTCTGGGGGGAAAATGTACGTATTTCGGACCATGAACTCCTTCAAGATGTCATTTTGGATTGTCCCTGTCAGCTTGGCCTGAGGCACTCCCTGTTCTTCTCCAGCTACAATGAATGCTGCCAACACCGGAATGACCGCCCCGTTCATTGTCATAGAAACGGACATTTTCTCTAAAGGAATCCCATCAAAAAGGATTTTGGTGTCCTCCACTGTGTCAATGGCAACTCCAGCCATTCCAACGTCTCCTCGAACACGTGGATTGTCTGAATCATAACCACGGTGGGTGGCTAAATCAAAAGCAACAGATAATCCCTGCTGGCCAGCTAAATGAAAAAACAACAAAGAGAGATTCAAAAGTGTGGAACAGACTTGCCTTGGAACTCGATTTAAATGTATTCACTTTATTTTACACTATCCAGGCTTGGGCGACAAACCAATTTTTGACGTTAAACACTGTTCTTTCCCCAAACTTGTCCAAGGTCTTCTAGTCTTAAACTTTTAAATGAAAAAGTTTTGAACTGAGGAAAAAAAAATGTAGTCCTTCTACTCAGTCACACAATCAGCTCACCACACTTAACAAATTACTGAAGAACAGTTTAGCCAGAAACTATAAATATGCATAGACAGTATCAGGACTTATATACAGAAATTTTACTTAGCTTAGCTAGAAACAAAAAGTGTGATAACTGATGTCACATTACCCTCTCTTTCCCATAAACTAAACACATGCACAGAGATTATTACCCTGCCCCTAGTGATGTACATTGATTATTCGTGAAGCCAAGTGATGCATTACTAAACCTGTGGTAGGAGAAAACTGTTCATCTAAAGCAGGAAATGAGATAGAGCTCTTGGCAGACTTGTTGCTGCAACTTGAAAGCAGGACCCCAAACTCTGCTACCCCCAGGCTTCACCCTCTGACCAGTTCTGCGCTCCCAGAAGTAACTTTATCTAATGCATTTCTAAATCTGTTTCTCAACATCGGCAGAGCTACTGTCAGACACCAGCTACTGTCTTCAATCTAAAGAGCTAGGTGTTATCTCTGAAGCATCTTGACAAAAAAATTTATACTTCTGCCTAGTTTCAAGCAACAGAAATTTCAGGAATTATGAGAGCCAGAAATTAACTATTTTTCTGCATAGCTCTAAATAGAGATCTTAACTGCATTTTTAAAATACTTCACAAATAACTAGGTTAGATTCAGAATCTATGCTAAATAATTCAGTATCAATACAACCATTAACACAAGACAAAATTACAATATCATGTCAAAACTCTAATAATTCTTTGCAACAAACATTATTGAAAAACTGAGCTGTGCTACCAGTGTTAGTGCTTCTGCTTCAGCAGCCATGTTCAGCAGTAAGATAGAATATATTCAAAACAGTCTTTCCATTGAAATACTTGTCTGCAGATTTCTAATACTCTGTATTTATAATTTCTTAATTTACTGGGCTTTATGCGTTAGAAAGAATCAAGAATAATTAAAAGGATACTACGGCAGCTAATAGTTCTTTGTATTAACTAACCATTATATCGCAAGAGGTAAAAATCCCCAAACAACTCCCAATAAACAGCTGTGTTTTGAGTAGGAGGGACCACAAAGTGAGAAATAGAAGTGTCACAGATGTACTACTCAAAAGGCAACTCAACTCCCAATAAACAGCTGTGTTTTGAGTAGGAGGGACCATAAAGCAGGAAATAGAAGTGTCACAGATGTACTACTCAGAAGGCAACCTTCAGTGGTCTGTTGTTATGACTGGTAAGGTTATAATTAACTCCAAACAATTGCTAAGATGTACGGCTGGTGTAAAACTAAAGCTTCACTCTATCAAGGACAACTTTTTAGTAGAGTTTTTTAAACAGCTGTGTTTTGAGTAGGAGGGACCATAAAGCAGGAAATAGAAGTGTCACAGATGTACTACTCAGAAGGCAACCTTCAGTGGTCTGTTGTTATGACTGGTAAGGTTATAATTAACTCCAAACAATTGCTAAGATGTACGGCTGGTGTAAAACTAAAGCTTCACTCTATCAAGGACAACTTTTTAGTAGAGTTTTTACAATGCTTTACTCAACAGTATATTACGATGATGCTCTGGTTATCAGCTAAATAAATTGCTGCATAATACTCTGCAGAAACAGAGTGAATAGTTGCTCTCAAATAAGGGAAGTATCAATATTTCTGGGAAGCTGGCTTTACTAACACACCATGAATGACGCTATTTATATGTACTCACAAGTTCGGTTAAAGTTTGCTGCATGAGACGGAAACGCAAATTGTCAGAAAGCACCAACACGAGGAACTTCAGCCAAGTGACGAAGTTCAACATTTTTCCACTACGATCTTCTCTCATGGTCGCAGCACGAGTATGAAGCAATACACATGATCTGCTGGTTGGACCCTGGGATGCAGCCAAACTAAGTGTCTTTAAGTGCTGAGGCACAGTAACTAAAAATAGCAGTCAACACATTCATTTTTCCAACTCGATAGCAAAATGAAGCAAAAGCAGTTTCAGAAATGATCCATCTTCCCAGTAATAAAGAAATACAAGAGCCACTGGGAAGATTCTATCAGAAACCAAAACTCACAAGGCTGGAATAATCACATTTGCTATGAAAGTCACCATATGAATGCTCCTTGTTGTTTTGCAAGGTGATGTTGTTTCCCAGACCAGTTGTCTTACCTTTAATGTTGTCCTTGTAGAACTTATTGCTCTCCTCCACTGTGCTGAAGCCAGCATATTGCCGGATAGTCCATGGCCTGTAGGTGTACATGGTTGGGTAGGGTCCTCGAGTGTAAGGTTTCACCCCTGGCAGCTCTTCAGGGAAGTCTTCTGTGTCCCTTTTGGAGTATAAGGGCTTGATGTCGATCCCCTCTGGGGTGTGCCAAATTAATTCCTTTGGATTCTTGCCTTTCAGCTGCTTTTCAGCAAGGGTGGACCACTCAGGGTGCAGTGGCTGCCTGTGCAGCGAACGCCACCCAAGCTGGCAGGCTGGAAGTTGTGCCAGGCATGTGCTGTGGAGGGGCTGCAGGCGCAGGAGAGCATCTTTGGCTCTTAGCATGTCTGCCCCGCTGGCTGGTGAGTATGGGGTAAGCTAAAGAAAATAAAACCACGTATTTTGCGTTATCATGTAAGTCCAACACGGGAGAAGTGAGCACAGAGATATCAAGCAGTTTCATAGAATCACAGACTACCAGGTTGGAAGGGACCTCAAGAATCATCTAGCCCAACCCTTTAAGGTAAAGAAATACAGTTTGCTAAAGCCAAAGCGATTACTTGTGAAAAAAGTAAGTGTATTTATTCACTTACTCATTTGACAGACATTCCCTTCCAACTAGACAGTGCATAAAACAGAGGTCAAGAAAAATGTCAGTTTGTTCTCGCCAAAGGAAACATCCCTACAACTTGTCCACGTCCATGTATGAAATGTGTAACTTATTTCAGCCCCTAAGCAGCACCATGATGAATTAGTCACTGAACAGTCAGGCACAGAGATGGCTTGCCTAGCTACCTTCTCACCATCCCATCTCTCTCTTTCATCTACAAACTCCTAAATGTTGAAGAGGGACCCTTAAAACCAAAGAGGCACTCTGAAGGAAGTGGGCTGTCATAAAATTGCTGACGTATCGCACGCTTTGGAAAAGGTGGCTTGGGCTGGATGAGAATCAGAGCTACACAAAGTAAGAAAGGAGCACGGTATGCAAGAACATTAGGATAATACAAGTTGCAGAGCTCATCTCACCACGCATGAGATTGAGATGGTGGATAAGTTCAGTCATTCCTGAAAGCTGTAAGCAACTCTGCTTTTGCTCTCTGTGTCCTACCCCTGCGCTTCACAGCTTGGCTCCAAGGGCCAGTGACCTCTCTGCTTCACCTCTTTCACAACTCCCTGGAAACACACACTTCCCTGACACCTTTATGCATAGAACTGGAAAGCATCTCTATCACTGGAGCTGCAGCACGTGATAAAATAATAATAATTATGCTACGTGTGGTATATGCATAAGCACAAAGCAGCATCAGAGGAGCACCCAGCTCCCTACAGAGGTGGAAGGTAACCTCTGCCTCCACTACCCCACTACCAACGCGATGCAACCCCCCGGCTCTGCGACCCCTTACCCCGACGGAACCACAAAGCTGCC